TTTGACGATATTTAACATTATGTTAATTTTTTTTTAATTAACTGGTTATTATAATAAAAAAGGAACTGGTTGTTATCTTATTATTAACTTTAAAAAAATAATAATATTGATTGGCGTAAAACATTGTGATGTCAAAATGTTGCGATTTCAAAAAGTATAGTTTTTGACATTTCAATAAAAGTAAAAATTGAATTTGACTAGTGGGAAACTACAAAACTGATAAGCTGGAAACATCTCGTGCGTTCAATGCATATAACCACAACGAGTTCGGCTTAGAACCATAAAAATCTCTTATTTTTTAATCACTATACATTAAAATTCACTATTCAGTTTCTCAAAACAAAATGATACAACGTAACCTAAATTTGGTCATTAGTTTAAAAGTCAAACAACACGTGCATTTGATAACGGTGGACGTGCAAAGTTTCCCATGTCGATGTGGCCCGTCACGATAGCCTGTCATCTCCGGCTTTGGCACGTGCCAAAATAGGATGGCCTCGATATATCGCAGGAAGGCGGGAAGGTAGATTCACCTGTAGGTAGGTAGGAATGAGCTTGGCTTGAGGTCGAGTTCTAAATAAATTTTGTGATTGACTGATCTGTTGAAGTTAATAATTTATTTTCCCCAAATAATACAAAATTCATCTCTGTTTATTTTCATCGTAAGTAAGTATGTTCGATCTTCTTTTACAAAATTCCTTTGGTATGGCATCAGTCGTGAACCGCTAGATCGATTTTGATTTGATATGTGTTTTAGTCAGGAGATTGTTTTTTATAAAACTTTTGAAAACTAGAGGAAAATTTTTGGGAATAGCAATGCTTTCCACGCAGCAACAAAACAAATTACTGATGCAGAGGTTTTTGAACAGCTACCTTGCGAAGCATGGCAGACAGTATAGCGGCTTTAAAAGCAGCACCAGTTTAAAATGTAGCCTAAGTGCTATTACAGACTGACGATCTATCTCTGTGCCAAACTTAACATCAGATTCGTTCAAAAGATTTTACTTAAAAGAGTAACAAATATGCATCCTGTAAAATTCTCGTTTATAACATTTTTAAAACTAAATCTTAAAATCAACACTAACAAAATTTCTTTTAATACCCTTACAGCACGAAAACATACGAAATACGAACAGACAAGACGCTACAGTTGGTTTCAAAATAGTTCATTTCGTAACATTTCTACGAGCTTCAGGAGAACATCTATTTGCTTTTGTAAGGCGACTGTCATGGTGACTTTGTTCGCAATTTCCCTGTCGAAGCCATCTCTTGGGGATAACGTAACTAGCATTGTATCTTCTTGTCACTCGATACGGAAATACCGTTTGTTAGTTTACTCGAAACACGAATATGTTAGTGGGAATTCTTTGAATTCGATACAAATTAATAGAATAGTCACCCTGTGTTTTAATTTGATTTATAAGCGAAAATGTTGTTGTAACTTTTGTCTTGCCAATTCTCTTTTTTTTTTTCAAAGAAATCATGATTGTTAATATCATAATCATGATAAAATGTTAATTGAAAAAATCAGGCATATTGGGTGCATAAATTGACATTAATTAATGACGTCAATTGGTTAAAAAAATTACCTAAACCCACAATTTTAAACCATTTTCAAATCAACTCTTTAAGCTTAACGTAAAATGCCAATAGAAGTACAGCTCCGATGCACGTTTCAAAACCATTATTCAATATAAGCACTCACAGCTTTAAAGGCTCCGATATACCTATCGTATACTTGGTTACTTAGCTTTATAAATTACCTCAATCTATCCCCTCAAAGTTGACGAGACACTTCGATTTCTTATCGTGGGTATGTCAAGGATTTCTGCTTTTTAAACTCCATTATTATGAGGTTTTATCAGACAAAACTGTGAAAAATAAAACGTGGGCCATTAATTTTAATCAATTCACATAAATGTTTTATACATGTTTATTTGAAAAGGCCAACGCTACCGATTCAAACTGAAAACGACAATCCAACCTTAACCCAAATTAAAAATAACCATATTTTTCCTCACCGGTCCCTCCATTAAAACATAAAGCAGAAATATCAAAGTCATTATCTATTGTCTGCTTAACGTGAAACATTTCACAATAAGTATTCAGTCACCAACGCCACCAACCGGAGTTGGTTTTAAAAGAACCACCTTTTACCATCACTTAACAAGCTTCCGACGTATATTGACAATAACGTTTATTCACTGCACTTAATTACTTTCCACTGACAGAATATTTTGTTTATGCTGCAAACCATTAAAAGCATATAATGAAGTTGAATTTAAAGCGCATTTAATTCAGATGTTACGTTTTATTAATATGTTAGTGTTTTTCTCATACTTATTTTATTCTATACTTGCTATTTCCGCTGCTCAGCTCTTGTATGTAATGTTTTATAGTAGGTATTCCTCGTCAAATTTACTTTTTAACACAAAATTATTAGTTTAATTGAAATCAAAAGTTCCGGAGATAGATTAGCGTGTTAATAATACTTTTAAGATTATCATTTATGTATCTAAACTAATATTATAAAACTGTAGAGTTTGATTGTTTCAACACGCAAACTTCGTTTTCGTTTTTCCATTTATCGAGAAAGCGTTTAGGCTGTATAACATCACACTACGACAAGCAGCGGGTGATACGGCGCGAGAGTCGCTAGTTAGAAATATAAAAGAAAATATGTAAAATAAATCTGATAGTGTGTTCCGGCAGAAAACGTACAGGTCTACTTATAAGTATTTTGTTCATTACTCCAGATTGCGTGTCTAAGCTTACTACCTAGCTTCGAGAATGCCTAAATTAATTTAAAGTAAACAAACTATTAGGTTTAAAACCAAGAAACTTTGCTAAAACTTACATAAACGGCCACTAAGAAAGGGATTCCTTAAATTCCGGTGGGAATATGGTTTTCAGGAGATTGGAAGAGCTAGTCAATTCAGTAATTGCTAATCAGTTTACTCTTAAATGGAAATTGATTAAAAACTGGTTTCCCCTAAACAAATAACTTTAAACCTTTTACTAAGGATATTGCATGTTGGTAATAAATTCTAAGCCAGTTGTACCTAAATAATCTTTGGGGTAAAGTAGATAAGCAGCACAGGGGAATTCTTTCGACAACGTTGAGCTAACCGTATTGAATTTTGATATCTATCTGATGTGCAGTAGGGTAAATAGAATATCCAGTACAAAAAAGGCCTCCGTCAAAAAAAGTTACAATATTTTTCATCAACATCGTCAGTCGGAAGACGTCCACAACTGAACAAAGGTCCCGTAGTTCACCACATTGAACTACAAGCCGCCACTCACATCCATTGGTTTACAAAATTAGAAAAATAGTACTTTAATCTAATTTAATTACTAATACTAATAATTTCTTGTATCTTTTAAGTATTGTTACTTGCATGCAGTTTTACCTTATTCAAAATTATATTTTGTTATATGTAGGTATTGTAGGTACACAAACCGACTATCCAATTTATTCATTAGTTGCAATAATAGCCACGGTAATTGTATCTTCCGGTGAGTACTATGGTACAGTGCTGGTTGGTACATAATGCATGCTGTGAACAATGGAATGTGTGCTGTGTAAGTGTGTACGCGTTTCATAACGTTGTGAGTCGTCCAACAAGACTAAACGGCTACGCTGTTGAATCATGGTGTGCGATCCTTTAAAATAAACGCATAGGTGTTCCTTGACAATATTTATATATCTGTACTAATATTATAAAAAGGTAAAATTCGTAAGTTTGTACGTTTGTAAGTGTAACCGCTGATCGGATTGTCAAAATTCTTTCACTGATAGATAGCTTCAACATTCCTGAGTGCTATAGGCTTTAAAACATCACGCTACGTTCAAATGGAGCCGAGCAGCGGGTGAAACCGCGCAAGAGTAGCTAGTTGATAATAACAACTTAGTGATACTGAGACTTGCGTCAATGTCAATGTCGCGGATTACCTGTTGGTAAGCGAAAAGCACCCGTTGCCGACCTTTTGGGTTTTTGAAGATTTAAGGTTTTGGGAAGGGAAAGAATTGGCCCTACTGACAATTTTGTGCTTGTTTTACGCCGGTTACCAAGGCCTAAGCCTCACAAAAGTGAGGCCTTCTATCATTTTCATTATGCCGACACATTCATGCCGAAGTATAGGTTCCCCCACTGAGTATGAATTGCAATTAGTAGAGCTTTTCTCAGTTACTCGTAATACACGTAAGTCGTTATACTTATTCATTATATTTTTCACTTATTTACTATGACACAACAGTATTTATGTTTTATATATTTTTCTATGCATCAAAACTAGAATACTTATAAAAAAATAGATCGTTACTCCACACAAATTGCTTTATTCCAAAATTTAGTGTTGTTTTCACGTTGTTATTAAATTATCGGACCCAGCAGGAAACCGCCGGGCGGTCAATATAATTACTGACGTGAAAAGATAGCCCCGATTGTAGTAAAGAGGAAATTATAATTTATAGCTAGCTACACGAATACATACTTGTTATTTATTAATCGAATTTAATCTAAAAAATTTTTGGTATCATGGTAAGGTTTTTTCATAGACAAGTTTAGTCTTGTCAATTAAAAAAAAACTTCAAATGGATGCGCATCAAAACGAACTACACTAAGGAACTCCTTCTTGTATTTTAAAACCCTATACAAATGTCTTTTTTTTTTTTGAGGGTAGAAAATCTCCTAATTGTTTCTCCTGTATTAGGTGTTTTTTCTCCTGCTCCAGACCAGGGGTCGCGGAACATTATTGCGTATGACCCGCCAAACCTGCTGAACATCAGCCTTTTAGGCGCCATCTTTGGTAGACCACCACTTTCGTTTATTTCGTTGGCTTCTATGGCGTGCACAGAATGCTACTTGCCGCACGCAACGCTATGCGCCACACTATGGTTTGGTTGCATTACCTACACTAGAGAAATCTCTCCTCCCACCCCTCTCTCTCTAATAAAGATTGAAGTTCCCAAATAAAAAAATCCGTTATTCTTACAGGTCCGAAGAGTTGGTCTTGGTATCAGCAGCGGGCCTAGACCTACCTTCGATCTAACAGACCCTTATTGCAACAATGTCACCTACGACTACGTACCAATGCACGACCCACACCTTGCTCACCATTTTGCACAAAAACCAGCTAGGAACAGAATGAAGCAACTTGGGTTCTGCACGAAAGATGGACGAGCGGTGTGCTCACTGAAGGAGTTCAATCAATATAGAAAGTATTTATACAATCAGTTCATGGATAGGATTCATATGGAAATGAAGAAACTGGTAAGTAAACATAAGAAACAATAGTCAATAAAACATTCAAAAAAGACTATTAGTGACATTAGTCGCTCATAAATGGCAAAATATTCTGATAAGGAAGGTGTCTGGACTTAATAATTTTGACGATTTAAGAACTTCATTAATTTTTTATTATTTACAAACAGGATGAACGTGCAAAAGACGACTTGACCCTAAAACGAGTGGAGACTGACGTAGCAAGGAGAAAGCAAGTGTTCACGAAAGCAGAGAAAGCGAGGGAGCATCTTGAGAAGGTGGCTCAGGAACATGCTGATGAGTGGGCAGAGAAGAAAAGAGCGTATGTATAAGAACTCTTTTTAAAAAAGACTTAGATATTATGACTATTTTCATTAAAATAGACCATTTTTCATTTTTTTTTGAGTTCAACAATCGTCAATTGGTTTCTCTCGTGTGTGGTCAGAGTGAGTGGATGACTCTTTTGTGGAAAAGTTGCTTCAGGTCGGAACCGCTTTTAATACCCATGAAGTTTCATTTATGTTCTAGAATCATTTAATAATGTCAGATAAAGTGTATGTTAGGCTAACGGACTAATAGTATATGTGATTTAATCGTTTCTAACAAAGCCACAATCACAATTAGATATTGTGAAAAACACACATGGGTACTCATTGCTACTAAATACAGGTAAAAAAAATAAAATAGGAAATATTTACGGAGCTTGCTACAAATCGTGAACCAATTTACATGAGACAAACAATAGCTACAATATCCTGCCAAAACAAAGAAACAGGTATATTTTTGCTAAACAAACAGTAAAATTAGCATCTGAAATGATTACCATTATTCCCAACGGTTTGCTTTACTTTATGGTACATGTTTGACGTATTATCGGTGTATATGCATGGCAAATTACCGTAATGGCCGGAGATTAAGGAACGCGCTTCTCATGCATGAGAATACGGACTCGAAACCTGGCAAGTACCTATGTCACTTTTCCGAATTATATGTACTTTCTATTATTATTTAGACACCATTGACCTCAGAATACAGAACAAACCAGAAGGCGTTATCGCGCTTAAAACAGAAGCACCTAAAACCACTCTTTACTATAGTAGTATGAAATTTCTACGATTAGTCAATTTTGGCACGTGGCATGTCGTGACGTATTTACGAGTATCAATTTTAATTTCATTATTCCGTCTTGTGTTATTACTACGAGTAAAAATGCGGCTGGAAATACGAAAAAAGTAGATAAGATTACATTTCATCTGCAAGCATCGATTGCAATAGTATATTTAATTAATTTTATTGAACTTTTTTAATCGATTTATTTTTCTATGAAAATTATGCGGCCATTTTGTGAGTGTTGTCATTTTTGGTGAAAATTTTACCCACTTATTTATTTTTTGTGGGTTATATTTCTGTCCATTATCTAACAAAAAAAATAAAAATCATACAAAAGGCACGGCTAGATTCATTTTGGAAACCATCTAGCCAGAGAATAGCTTGCTCAATTTACTTTGAAGAGATATATGTATTTATGACAAAGGTGGTTTGAGCAGCATTTCCTACTAAGATATATCTATAGGTATACTAATTATAATGCTGAAGAGTTTGTTTGCTTGAATTCGCTAATCTCAGGAACTAAGTAAAGTAAGTAGACTTTCTAATCTTTAGTTCCGAGTCTAAAGACAATACATCTTATAAAAAACTAAACCAGCAAAAGCTAAACCTTCGCACTTATTGAAGCTTTGTTGTGTACAGTAGGTGTAACTAAAATTAACATTAACATTTATAGAAGTAAGTTTACCTATTTTTGTTGGGTTTACCCAACAAAACTATATCTTACCCTCTTGTTGTAAAATTACCCCAAACCAAGGGAATTGTTCCACTGTCGGCAACACTACGCGGGTGGGAAGTGCGGCTGGCGGGGGGATTGACGTATTGTTTTTGGACACATTTGACGACATGTAATTATGAGTGAACGCGGCTTCTGGTTTGTTCTGTATTATGAGCCATTGACATACGGTGAAGGAAAACTTTGTGAGGAAACCTGGTCCTATTATTTCTAAATTACAAGTTTGAAGTCGCCAATCCGCCTTGGGCAAGACATGCTTGCTTGAAAAAGGTTTGAACCTTTTTCGCCTGAGAAGACGCTTATGCTTAGCAGTTGTTATACGTTGATGATGTGATGTATAGCAAACTGCCTCGTTTATTGAAAGGTTACAAGAGCTCAGTGGCACAAATTTCTTAGCATCATCTGATGATTTGTCGATCTATCCCATAAAGAAGGCAAATATCCTTAAAGAAAAGAGACGCAAATATTATTGGAGATGGCGGATTTTGATTGGTCGCTTTTGAGGGGAAATTTGTGATTACGAGTATGCTGTATAGGGCAACAGGTCTTTATAAATTCATTATGAACCTTTCAACCGTGGTAATTCGAGACACAATAGAAGAATAATAGGTGCGCAAACGCCGCCGGCTTCGCTTGGGGATTGATGAGTTTATTCAAATTTCTATTTTATTTTATTTCACTTCATTCTAAACTGACGAATTCCAACCGAAGATGATTCTTTCCTTATATTCTTTTGTACACATGAAATTTTGATAAGCTTAAGAAGGCCACGTCAATCCATTAATGTTTCTGCGAAAAAAATAATGTCGCACGTCTTTGTGGATATTCGGAGAAACTCTTTCTATTAAGCATGATACGTTAATATTTTAAAATGTTAAGTCTTGTTAGTTATTCGTAAAGATCCTATTTTACAGGCTGCAGACTAAAAGACTGTTCCCTAAATTTCTTGTAAAAGTTGTACAACTATTGTTTTTAACTTTCTACACACATAAGCATATCAACCCGCCACAGTTTCTAAATAGTTTTTGAACTCTATATCAAAATCATAAGGTTGTAAGTCTTTTAAACAGAGAATGAGTAGTGGGCTAGCTTGGTGTGTTTTCTGTACCTACACATTTTCGCGAGTTGGACTGTTCAAAAGAAAAAAACACGTGAGTAGAATATCCTAAATTATTACTTTATACCCTAAGGAAAGGTTTCCCTTATTTTTCGGTATTTGACCTTTCTTTACATATTAAAATGAAGAGATTGTGTAATCTCAAATAAATTATAGAATCAATTTAAACATGACTAAGGCAGGCAATCCTTTTTATTGTAACAAAGGAAATAGATACGAGCATCGGGATAACATGGAAATGTTAATGGCGACTAAAAGAAGTCATAAAGAATTAAGAAATTAGGATATCCATTAAATGAAAACTTCAACACACGGGATCCAAAACCCAAATCCAACAAAAAAATCTAGAAACTTAGCCTGTCAGCACTGGAGAAAAGCAAGCTGGGTAGAGGAAGCGCACATAAATAAAAAAAAATAACCAGGGTATAAAAACTTGAGTGGGAATCAACCAGTCGTACATTAAGAAGCATTGAGAAGTGGAACAAAACGCAATGGAACAAGACACACAAATAAATGCCATAGCAGAAAAATCATGCACAAGGGACACGTGCCAAAGCTGGGTAAACAAACTAAATTCCCATTGTCTACGACTCAACGAACCAGTCATCAATTAAAATCAATTTGTAAAGTTTATTTTTGTCTGAATAAAGGCTTATACTATCGAGGCAACTATATTTTGTGTTTTATGAAATAACAATAAAACAATGTATTTATTTTTGTGCATTGATTAAAAAATAACACTTTTACATTTCAATATTATAATATTTTCTAGGTGAGACTAGCATAGAATAATATTTTAGAAATTTTTTATCGTAAATATCCTTTACATTAATTCTCATGCGCAAAACTCAAGGGTGTTTCCTAGAAAGTCCTCAAATAATAGTTTAAAGTTACAAATGGCGGCTGTTTCGTCGCCTTGACTAAAGCTTGCTTACCGCGCTCTACTTGCTCTCTTTTTTTTTTTTATTTTCACTACTAAGATTTATGCAAACGAATGTTTGTACATATGTATGTAGGCGGATTCGTTTAATATTGCTTTGTTATAATAAAGAATATACATAATTATAATATACAATTTTGTTAAGTTAATAATTAACTTAATTTTTTGTGAGGGGAAAATCTTTGAATGACTTCTCCCGCCAAGGGTTGAACGGGATGGAGTGTCAGACTCTTACTGACTAAAACCCCCCCCTTCCTTCTCCTGCTTTGGGCCGAGGCCACGGTGCCTCATTGCGCTTGCCCCGCAACATCGGCTAATAATCCTATACTTCTCATTAGTTTATACTGAGTATGAGCTGCAATAAAAACAATGACAAACGTCAAAACCGCTTACTGGAAGACTAGTATTCGTTTTTGTAGGGCAAATGCAATAAGGTAACGCCGCCTCGACCTCGAGCAGGAGAAGGAACGGTGCCGTTTTTAATCAGTAAGAGTCTAACACTACACCTCCTCCTGAATGCGAGAAGTTATTCGATGATTTTTCGCCCTCAAAAAAAGTTAGTCTGCTGTGTTAGGTACATAGCTGCGAATTGCGCGCTGGTCATGAATAAGAGTCCCTTTGTGGCTTGAGTAATAGAGCTTTTTCCAGTAAATTCACGTCAGTGAATCGTTATTTTCAATAAATGTAGTGTTTGTATCATGATAGTTACAATTAAAAGAGGCCTTTTTTGAACTCGAGGTCGAGGCCATGGTTCCTTATTCCGAGTATTATTTTGTTTGCCAGATAATTATATAACGCACTTTTACCCTATAATTGCTTGAAATTGGCATGACGTAGGAGGTCTTAATTAATCTTATAGAAGAAGCTCATGCATTCAAAAGCGTCTGCAAATTTGATTATGTATGTAAATCTCTTCCCGCTACGGTTAAATCATTTACGTGTTATATACTACAAGCTCTTTTCAGTAGCATCTGCGTGTTTTACGAGAAAGTTAATAAAATATGGAAAAAACTATTTAAAACTACCGCGTAAGTATTTGTATCAAAATATGAAGCGAGCTGTTCTCATTAACTTTGAAATTAAAATTCCTACTGTACAGTGTTTATAAAATATTTTAGTTGGATGGGATTTCTCATTTATGAACTTTTAATTAATAAAAAATATGGTTACATAATCAAGTAATTTATTTAATTTAAGCTTATGCACAATAAATAGTACCTGGTGGACTGGATACCGTAAGCATTCCCTCCCAATTTAACTTTTGAGTGATGGAGCCAACGGCAGCTCCAAGAAGCAGGAAAAAAAAAACAAAGTTAAAGTTACACATGTTCATGTTATACTTTATAGACAAAATAAATTAATAAAAGTGCTACATTATTTTAGGTACATTAGGTTATTTGTTAACTACATATTGATTTTTCG